GCTACAGAGACCCTGTTTAAAAGCAAACAAATAGGGGCTGGAGAGATGGCTCAGTGGTTAGGAACACTGGTTGTTTTTGCAGAAGACCTGGGTTTGAATCCCAGCACCCACATGGCAGCTGACAACTGTTCATAACTCTAGTCCCAGGGGACCCAACAGCCTCTTATGACCTCCACAGGCATTGCACGACACGGGTACACTTACCTACATGCAGGCAATACATGCATACACATAAAATAAAAATAACAAAAAATTAAAAAGAAGAAAGCAAACAACAACAAAAACCAAGGGCTGGCTAGATGGCTTAGCAAATAAAGGTGATATAAGTCTGATGACATAAATTCAATCCCTGAGACCCACATGGTAGAAGGAGAGAATTGACTCCTGCAAGTTGTCCTCTGACCTCCACAGTCAAACAGTTGTGTGTTCATGTCCACATACATAAATAATAAATAAAATATAATTCAAAAACTGAGACAGGGTAATTGTTCCCTTTATGTCTCAGTGGCTGGAAGTGTGGCTGCCCCATGGGGGTGGTGGCTACAGGCAGGGCTGGTCCTCCACACAGGCCCTGCCCCACAAGCTTGGAGACCTGTGCTCTATGATGAATAGGGAGAGGGTTGGTGAGGACGGGTTCCTGCCCTGCCATGTTGAAAGAGGAAGCGGCAGTAATGAACACAGCCCCAAATACCTAAGGGTATTGTCCTTAGGACTTGTGTATGTACGTGTGTGTGTGTGTGTGTGTGTGTGGAGAGAGGGAGGGAAGGAGGGAGAGAGAGAGAGAGAGAGAGAGAGAGAGAGAGAGAGCATCCATGCATGTGCATGTATGTGGAAACCAAAAGTCAACATTATGTGGTTTCTCAATCATTCATCAACCTTGCTCTTTGAGGCAGGGTCTCTCACTGAACCTGGAGCTGGTCAATTTGACTTGACTGGCCAGTGAACCCCAGGGATCCTCCCCCTTGGGCCATGCCTGGCTTTTTATGTGGATGCTGGGGATCTGAACTCAGGTCTTTATGCTGACACAGCAAACACCTTACCAACCGAGCTGTCTCCACAGGCCCTCCTTAGGACTCTTGTTAGAGAAGTGTTCTCAAATTGCATAATCCTGTTATTTGACAAACAGATGCAGGAACAATGATATTGAGGATTTGGGAGAGATTATAAAGCACCTGTCCTCTTTTTTATTTCTTTTTGAAACAGGTTCTAATGTAGCCCAGGATGGCCAAAAACTCATGTAACCAAGGATGACCTTGAACTCCTGATCCTCCAGCGTCTACATCCTAAGTGCTGGGATTACAGGCGAACACCACCTCACCTGGTTTATAAGCTGCTGGGGCTTCATGCATGCTAGGCAAGTACACTATCGACTGAGCCCCATACCAGTCTGGCAGCACCTGTCCTCTACAGGCCCCTTAAATTGAAGCTTTTGCCATTTTAAGGTGGAGGAAATGTACTCAGAGAGGGTGACTAGTGCACTCAAGGTCACACAGCTGGTCAGAGGCTGGGAAGTATTTGGAAGCCAAACTGCCTCCCCACCCAGGCCTGTCTCACTCTCTTCTCTCTGCTATAAGTCGGTAAGACCCCCTCTTCCCTGGGTACACAGTCAGACCACCTTCCTCATCCTAGAAGCCAGTGGGTGCACCTGTGGCTCTCAGCCCAGCCTGCAAGCTTGCTATAGACAGGAACCCACCAGCCCCCACCCTCCTAAGAGAGACCAGAGCTCCAGGAAACTTCCTCAAGGGCATAGCTGTGTTCAGGTAAGTGACTGATCTCTGCCCACAGCCTCTATCTGCTCATCCTCTGCTCATCCTCCTGAAAGTGAGTGAGCAGGAAGTCTTGACTAAGTACTCCACCCATCATTTAAGCAGGATGCAGCCGTTGTGCAGGCACCAACCTCCACCTGCAGTGCCTCCATGTCACAGGCCTGGGCAGCGAACACTGCCCCTGTCAGCTCCTTGAGAACCAGGCTCCATCATCTACAATGGACACCGTAGGATATCCTGGAGTTTGGTCTCTCTAAGGCTCTGGTCTCATTTTTCAGGGGTTTGAGTCCCTGGGAAGCACATGTGGACTTGGGTGGAACTGCTTTCCCTCCCCCTCAAGGCAGGAGATAGCCCATTCCCGTCTTTAACCTCACTGCTTAGTGAGCTATGTTGCTGGTTTCAATTTACCACCTTTCTCCAGCTTTTCCAGGGCCAGCTGAGTCCCTTTTAGCCCTTCCCACCTCCCCAGCTTTCTGGAGAAAGGAGGGCAGGTCTGTTCTTAGCTCTCTGGAGATAACCATCCTCCCTATGTAGTGGATTCCCCTCCCCCAAGTACCAGTCCAGGCTCTGGTGGTTACTTGACCTTTCCCAGGGCAATGAGGGACAGATTATCAGGGTGTAACCCACATCACCTCTGCCATAAAAGCCATAATAAAAGGGAGCATTTATTATAGCAAGACAAGTCACCTAGACGGGTCTCCATTGCCTCTCAGCAACTGAATTCACGTGATCCAGGTGTGGTGCACACTTACAAATAATCCCAGCACTCAGAAGGCAGAGACAGAGTCCAACATTTTTTTCCTTTTAGACAGGGTCTCACTGTGTAGCCCTGGCGGCCTGAACTTTCTATGTAGACCAGGCTGGCCTCAAATTCACAGAGATCCTCCTGCCTCTGCCTCCCAAGTGCTAGAATTAAAGGCATGTGCCACCACATCTGGTCCAAATTCCATGGTCTTGAAACATAGCCCAAGCTGGCTCTGAGTTCACAATACTCCTGCCTCAGCCTTTCTGGTGTTGGGATTATAGGTGTGCCCCATCATGGCCAGTTGTGACTTTGTATGTGTGTGCATGTTAAGGCCAGTGGACAACCTTGGGTGTTGTTTCTCAGGAGTTTCCCATCTTGCTTCTTTAGATAGGGTCTCTCATTGGCCTGGAGCTTTCCAAGTAGGCTAGGCTAGCTGGCCAGTGAACCCCAGGGATCCTCTCTCCTAATCCCCAACACTGGGATGACAAGTACACACCTGGCTGTTTTCTCTGTTTTTTTTGATGTAGGTTCTGGGGTTGAACTCATGTCCTCCTGCTTGCTAGACAAGCACACTACTGACTGAGCCATCTCCCCAGCCTGTGTTTCTGGATCTCTTGCCTTAGAATAAGACAATACTGTTAAAACAGAGTTCCATAAGAACCATGTGAGAGCAACTCAGAGGCACAGCACCCAAATACTCTACTGGTGGGAGAGAGTCCCTGAGAAAGGACCACCCAGGACAGGTCCAGCTGTGTAAGCAGATCCTGGGGGACCACTCTGAAAACATCCTGGTGACATGAGCTTTGTGTATTAGTTACTGCAGTCTCCAAGTTACTGGCAGGCTCAGAGAGTGCCTTCTAGTGGCCAGTACAGGAAGAACATTTGGAAGCAAGAACAGATGGAAGACCATGGACCTTCTACACATGGCCACAGAGTGGTACTGACCACACAGAAACCCACTGTCACTAGCACCCGGACATGTATTCAGCTCACCGTTCTGGGCACCACTTATGTTGAGAGATGGGCCTCAAAATGTAGCCTGGGACTGGTCTCCCATCTGTGGGTCTCAGGGCCATCACCCTCAATTCCAGCTTTCCTCTGGGGCAGGAAGAGGGTAGATGGCTCCTGGGGATCCTGGGCGGGAGACCCCCCGCAGACTGCTGTGTTGGGCCAGAGATAGGGAGCTCCATAAGGGCGGTGCTTTTCTCTGTAGTAGAGAGCCATTTATGAACACAAATTCACATCGGGGAGAAATAGTTTTCTACCCATTGCTTCCTCGAAAATGGAAAATTGAGGCACGCATGGTGGTGCACACCTATAATCCCATCACTCAGGGGTCAGGAGAACTAAGAATTTCAAGCCAGGACCAAGCAAGATGGCTCAGCACCTGTCACCAAGACTGATAACCTGAGTTTGATTCCTAAAGCTGCCACACACATGCCGTGGCATGTGTGCACCCCTCCCCACATATATACACATATGCAGAATATAAATAAATGTGTATATTTTTATGTATGTGAGTGTTTTGTCTGCATGTCTGTAAGTGCAATGTCAACAGAGGCCAGAGAGGGTGTTGGATCCCCTGGAACTGGAGTTTGGAATGGTTGTTAGCCACCATATAGGTGCTGGGGATTGATCCCAGATCCTCTGAGTGCTCTTAACCACTGAGCCATCTTTCCAGCCCCAAAGAAGTATATATATATATATATATTATTTTATGAGTATGAGCGTATTGCCTGCATGCATTTAAGCGAACCTGTGTTGTGCAGTGCCCTCTGAAGAGGGTGTCAGGTTCCCCTGGAACTGGAGTTACCGACAGTTGTTAGCTGCTATGTGGGTACTGGGAATCGAACCCAGGTCCTCTGCAAGAGCAACCAGTGCTCTTAACTGCTGAGCCATCTCTCCAGACCCAGAAGGATATATTTTCAAAGCTTTATAAGTATTGACAGTCAATTTGGGCTGCAGATTCAGACCCTGTCTCTGTCTCTAACAGCCAAGTCTAAAGGTGAAGGTGTGGGCCAGCAGGGGACGCTAGGCACCCCTCTTCCTCTGTGGGGTACACGTGCCCTGCAGCCGAGGTGGTGTAATTGACCCACTCCGCAGCACCGAACCTCTGTGACTGTGGTGCCAAGTCCGGAGCACTGTGGTCAGCAGCCCTCTGCAAAGGCCCCAGGGAGCCCCTGGCACAACAGTGGGTGGCACCGAGACCTACATGGTGTCCAGACTGCGCGTAAGGCCTGGGGGATTCGGGGAGCAGTCATCCCCCACCTTAGGAAGGGCGCGTGGCTCGGAGCGTGCACCTCAGCATCTTCGCGTTTTGGGAGGCGTGAGACTCAGGAAGCTGGACCAGGGAGGGGCGTGGCCGGCGAGGGCGTGGCGCCGGAGAAAGAGTCCGGAAAGGGGCGTGGCTTCAGCGTGCCAGGAGGTGCTACCGTCGCGGGATGGGCGGGGCCTGCCAGGCGGGCGGGGCGGTGACGCGCGCCGACGCGCGATCCCGGAAGCGGTGTCAGTGCTGGGCAGCCGGCGGCGGGCGGCGCGGCTGGGACTTGTTGTTCTCCAAGTCGGAGCGTAGAGCCGGGAGCGCGCAGGCGGCGGCGGCCGCGGAGAGCGCGAGAGCAGGAGCGCGCGTGGACAGCGCGTGCCCGCGAGGAGCCGCCGCGCCCGGCCCCACGCGCGATCGCGGTGAGTGAGGGGCTGCGGGAACCCCGGACGAGACCCGGGACGGCCGCTGAGTCACGGCTGAGCTTGTGCACCTGCCAGGGTGCGCGCCGCGACGGCCGCGGTGTCCGACCCGCGCACGTGCCACGCGCGACCGGGGAAGGGGACTGTGCGGCCGCGTCCCGCGCACCCCGCCACGTGCACCTGCCCACTTCCGCCCCGGGGCCCCGAGCACGCGCTCCCCAGCTGGACTTCCCGGGGCCTGGGTGGCCGGTGTCACTTTCTAATCAGCTGACCCGCCAGGGGTGCCGGAAGGAAGGCAGGCAGGTCGCGACGTGGAAGTCGTGGGTGGGGAGCCCGGCAGGTGACCGAGTTGGCGAGGCTGGCGCTTTCCCTCGCTTTCTTCAGGTGTGGTCAGGGTCCAAGGTTCCTTCCAACTCCTTAAGTGGGGTGAGCCGACAGGTGTGCTAGGGTGTGCCGAAAGAAGAAACAAAATCTAGACAACTACAGGCGGCAGAAAGCCTCTCGGGGGTCCGAAATGCCTGGCTTGGGGAGGCTTGGGGCAGAGCCCCCTCTCCTGGCATCCTTACACCTGGAGATGGGAGCCACGCTTTCCAGAACCTGCCCTGTTCACAGAGCAGGCTGTGTTTGGGAGGTCAGGCAGCCTGGTTCTCAGGTGAACAGCAACGCGGTGCCTTGCTTTTCATCTGGACAGCTCTTGGAGTCAAAGCAGAAACTGGTTATACTTTACCTGTTTACTTGACCGAAGGAAGGGCAGGCACCCACCTTTTTCTTGACAGGTGCCTGGTCCCAGTCCCCCAAACCCAGCCCACTCCATAGCCCATTAAAGCTAGCTCTGTACGGTTCAGCCTTTCTCCTAAAATGGATTCACCTGAATCAGCTGCGGGACAACCCCCCCCCCCCCAGGTTGACATGAGGGATCTTTCTGTGACAACCACAGGGAGGGAATCTGTTAAAGTGCATGTGGATACAGGATACCTCTGCAGTGGGCCTTTCCAAGCCTGATGTCTTCAGGGCCAGACAGCTTTTTTTTTTTTTTTTTTTTTTTTTTTTTTTTTTTTTTTTGTCTTTTTTGAGACAGGGTCTTCCTGTAGCCCTCGCTGGCCTGGATTCACTATGGAGACCAGGCTGGCCTCCAACTCACAAAGATCCGACTGCCTCTGCCTCTCGAATGCTGGGCGCTTGGCCCAGAGAGCTTTTTTAAAAGGTGTCACAGTGGCACAAGATGGCACAGCATCTAGGAGCCTGAGGCAGGAATATTTAAGTTCAATTTGAGGCCAGCTTGGGCTACGTATATAGTTCAAGGCTATCCTGAGCTACATAGTGAGACCCTGCCTTAAGAAAACACAAGTTGGGCACAGTTGGGCATACCTTTAATCCAGGATTTGGGAGGCAGAGGCTGGCAGATCTCTGTGAGTTCAAGACTAGTCTGGTCTACATAGTGAGTTGCAGGCCAGCTGGGGCTACAGGGAGACCTTGTCTCAAAAAGATCCGCCCCCCCAAGTTATTAATTTAAGCAGGTGGGTGGGGTCAGGAAAGTAGTAGGTGGGTTGGATACACCTGTAGCCTGTGTTACTGTGGCAGCCCCCACTGACGACAACAGAAACTTCTCCCTCTTTAGATCACCCAACAGGAGTGTGTCCTAAGTTTGACCTTGGTAAAGGGAGTCTACTGTTAGAACTTAAAACTAGACTTCTCCTAATTCTAAAATAAAACTTTTACTAAAGAAAAAAAAAAAAAACCCCAAAACAAGTGAGGCTTCTCTGGAATACTCTGAAGCCTGCACAAGCTCAAGGCTGTGTACTTTCCAGGTAGCTGTTAAAAATGGGAGTTGGACAGATGATATTGGAAGGCCAAGTTTTCTGAGAGTTGCCCTTTCTGTCCTAGCCCTTTCTCCAGACCCTCAAGGTGGCTGGTGAGACTTTTTCCGGCCACTTTGTCCCAGGGACCCTCAACTTTCACTCCTCAGCTCTGCCAGCCAGCGGGTTTGTTTACAGTCTCCAGCAAATGGCTTACTGTCTAGACCTAGAAGATGTGCCTGTTTCTGCCCCGGCTGTTCCGAGTCTAAAGGTTTCTTGGAGTGGACTTTCTGGATCCCGGGTCCAGTCCACACGGGAAATGGAAATCAGGCCAGCTGGGAGAATTCTCTGTGTGGCCGATCCCGGGAGCTGTAAACAGTGACTCACTCTCCTGCCCCACCCTCCCTGTCCCCCGCTTAGGGAAGATGCCCCGGCATTCCTATTTATTTTTGCTTTTTGTAAGTCACACACATGTTATATTTCCTTTTCTATAGTTTCAGGAAACTGGAAGTGTTATCTGAAAATTTGTAGAATTTCACAGCAGGTAGAAACAAACCTGGGTGATCACACAGCCCACTGTCCCCACAACCTTCCCCTGTAGGGGAGAGCTCTGTAGTCTAGAAAGTTCGATGGCTGTCTGCCCTGGTCTGAGGTCAGAGATCAAGATCAGAAGCTGGAGGTGGGGGGAGTCTGGTGGTGGGCCGCACCTGCCAGCTCTTCAGTGGGGCCATCTGGTGTCATGGAGGGCAGGACAGACACCCTTTCCTAGGCTTCTGTCCCTGCCCAAGACCACCCCTCTGTTTACAAAGCAAACCTTTCTTTGTGTCTTGATACCCCTCAGGGAGCTGGTGTAGGTAACATAAGTTCTTTTTCCAGGAGCTCACTGTGCACTGAGGAGGCTGAAAGAATATTCTAGAACCAGGTCTAGGTCCAGAGCCCATCCCAAAGAAGGCAGCTAGAAGGTCTTTCTGGAAGAAGCAGGAATTGATAGGCAGAGACCTCATGTCCAGTATAGCCAGGGCTCTCAGCAGCCAGAGGAGGAAGGCCTGGCGAGGTATCCCAGCCAGGGGGTATGGAACTCAGAAGGCACCCTAAGACTACTCCTGCTGTCTGTGGGGCTATGTTTGAAGCACCAAGGTCAGGGTTAGGGGCCTGCTGAGTCAAAGCTGGGGCCCAGAGAGAAGTTGAGCCACACCTAGGGATGAATGGAAGAGCTGGGTGTAATCCCAGCACTTGGGAGGCAGAGGTCAGAGAATCTTGAGTTCCAGACCAAACTTGGGTATATGAGTCTCTGTCTTCAGAAGCAGGCTGGGGAGATAAATCAGTCAATAAAGTGCTTGTGTCGAGGGGCTAGAGCAATGGCTCAGTGGTTAAGAGCTGTTCTTGCAGAAGACCCGGGTTCAAATCCCAGCACCCACATGGCAGCTAACAACTGTCCGTAACTCCAGTTCCAGGGGAATCTGACAGCTTCTTCTGTCCTCCGCGGGCACTGCATGGATGCACTTACCTACACGCAGGCAATACATACATACACATAAAATAAAAATAATAAAATATGAAAAAAAATTTTTAATTGTTTATGTGTATGAATGTTATACCTGTATGTATGTAAAAGCATCCATATTGTGCAGTGCCTGTGGAGGCCAGAAGAGGGCATCAGATCCCATGGAATAGGGATTACAGACAGTTGTTAGCTGCCATGTGAGTGCTGAGATTCAAACCCAGGTCTTCTGCAAGAACAACCAGTGTTCTTAACCACTGAGCCATCTTTCCAGCCCCCAAATAAACAATTTTTTTTTTTGGTCTTTTTGAGACAAGGTCTCCCTGTAGCCCCAGCTGTCCTGGAACTCACTATGTAGACCAGGCTGGCCTTGAACTCACAGAGATCCACGTGCCTCTGCCTCCTGAGTGCTAGGATTAAAGGCGTGTGCCACCACACCCGGCCTCAAATAAACAAATTTTTTAAAAATTCAATAAAGTGCTTGTCTAAACCCACAAAAAAATGTTGAGCATGGCCAAGTGTGGCGGCATACACCTTTAATCCCAGCACTCAGGAGGCAGAGGCAGGTGGAGCTCTGTGAGTTCAAGGCCAGCCTGGTCTACATAGTAAGTTCCAGGCCAGCTGGGCCTATAGAGAAACCGTCTCAAAAAAATAAAATGTTGGGTGTGGTGGGTAGGCAGAGACAGGAGGATCCCTGGGACTTACTGGTCAGTCAGCATAATCTGTGTTGAGTTGCAGGCCAGTGAGAGACACTGTTTCAAAAAACAATGTAGGACTGGAGAGAGGTCAGCAGCTAAAGACACTTGTTGCTAAGCCTGACAACCTGAATTCAATTCCCTAGGACCCCCATGCTCTGACCTCCACATACCTGCTGTGGCAAATGTGTGGAGACT